GAGTTTGGTCCTTCTATTAACTATACCATATATGACATGTGAAAACATTGTGGAGAAGACATAGAATATTACAGCGACAGCAACAAGAGTGCCTTCACACCAAATCTTTTTGGGTCTTCCATTTAGTTCTGTTAAGGCCCATCTCCTCCATCAACTTTACCACAATCATATCCTTCTTAATTGCTTCTAACCAAATCTCTTATGCTTAGCTCTAGTCCTCCTTGCTCTATTAATTACAATCCTATCGCTTCTCTGAATTGGCGTATTTAGTGGTCTCTTTTGCACATCGTCAAACGATCTCAATCAATTCTCTCTCATTTTATCCTTAGTAGGAGCAATAACCAACCTCCTCTAAATGCACTCATTTCTTATACTATGTCTTGGTATATCTTGTAGTAGAATGTTGTCATGATTCACATGAATACGAAGGAAAGCGAAAATCATGATATTTGACATAAGAGGATACATGGGTTGACACATTTCAAATAGCGGTTTGATGTAGGCTTCTAGACAGCAAGATCATTATCGTGCAAATACCATTTTTGGTTGAGATGTGCTAGGTCAACGATGTGTAAAAGTTATTTGTTACTTTGAGATGCATATGAAATTATGCTCCCCAGACCTCAGTACATTAACTTCTGTGTACTTTATAACACTGAAAAGAAGATGCTTGTAGAAAAGGTAATAATACCTAATTGGCTGCAATGCCATAATATCAGTGGTGAAGTTCACCAAGAGTCGAGACATGGAATAAGCTCTTTTTGATGTTGTAATTAGGTACAACACAGAATCCTTTGTCCATCTATCAACACTGGATCCCCTGCTCAAACGGACACGTCTCTTCTTTGCTTCATTTCTCAGTCTTGTGATTTCTCATGCAAATACCTCTCATAAATATTCCATGTGACTGTTATATATTAATCATGCTGGTTTCATTTTTCTGTAGGTCTTCCCTCAGAATTGGAGAAGAGTATGCGAAGATGGTTTTCTGTATTCTATATCGTGGCGGGTCTAGATTCCCCCACATTATAAATTATGTCCCAGCGTTTGTATACCGTTTTAAGATGCTATAGAGGTGAATGAAAAACAACTTGTGATTAACTTATTATTTGTCCATATGTAATCAAAACTGCTGAAGTCTGTGATTTGTTCCTGCTCATAATTTTCTGGAGTGAGTAAATGTCATTCATCTAACAATGTACCGTGACAGAATAAGGAACTAGCCTAGTTTATCACAGTATGGGGCGCATCTTGTGAAACTTTTGGTTTATATGTATTCGCGACCAAGTGAAGAAAACCTGATGCTGCCCTTGCTTTTCGATGGTTGGCGCAGAAAACTGACATGGGTGTGAAGTAACAGAGCCTATACGAGGGTTGTTTTCTTTGTTAATGCAGAAATTTTGTCAAGTAGAATCTGTTCAGTTTTTGTGGATGAATTTTTAGCAAATTCTTAATTCATTGAAAATCCACTTGTAATTAAGTGGATAATAATTTTTAGCAAATTCTTCATATTGAGCATTTATAGATGTTTAATACTGAGGCCACTTGCTTGGTATCTTGTTAGCTCAATTTTGTCTTTTCTGAACTCCAAGAATTGCTTGCCCACGTTCTACAATCCCCCGGCCAAAATGATGATATTTTCACTTACAACATGTGTAAATCACCAAAATAAATTAAAACAAACAAACAAAAAATAAATAAATCATGCCGATGACTCATAACCTCTCCCCGTTATATCCATAAATTCCTCCATTATGCTTTGAAATACTAGAAAACTAAGAATTTAAAGAACAAAAGGATTGAAAATAACTAATGCCGACTGGTCTCACAACCCTCTGCAATGACAAGAAGCTGAAGAGCTCAACCTCCTTATAAATGTATTCATTCATCCAAACATGTAAATTAGTCCCATCATGGGACAAATTGCATTCTCTGTTTCTCGTCGACAAGAAATGCTTCTCTACACCAATAAGCGCATAAATCACACAACAATTAAGCCAACACCGGTGAAATTAAGCCAGTAAATCTAAACAAGTTAAAACGATGCTCACGGGGGATAATCTGCTTCCAGCTTCTTCAGTATAAAACTTGTAACCCCCCAATTGAACCCTCGGTACTGCAACCATCGAACGATCCTAGCCTTGCGATTCTCTGGCGATGTATTCTGGCCGCGAAGCCACTGCTTAGAGGCTTGAAGAAAGAGACGGTCCATCGAGGATTTGGACATTCCATGCTGCACTGTTTGGCTTTGTCCTTCAGCATCGTCCCCTTCAAATACTTGTGTTATCGCATTCTCTGCTTCTGTCACGTTTACCCCTTTCTGGACAAGTGCCTGATCCCACCAAAAAGGAAAAAAAATGCTCTTATTCTTCAATGTAATTTCATAGCAAGGAAAAACCGTGCATGGATTTTTCTTTTTTCCTTCCTTCATTGACAATTCCACAGGAAAAAAAACCATTTATTAGAAAATTTTTCCTTTTAAAAACTTTTTTATCTCCATACAAGAAAGAACTCTTAAAATAGTATGGAAAGAAAGTGCAACTACTGAAACTCTAGGATAACCAAGCAAAAGAAACGCCATATAACATGAACATAATGATAAAAATAAGATCTTCAAGAGAAGTGGTCAATAATTAAACATAAATTGCTGAAGAGACTTCACTGTGAAGAATATGATATAGCGAATTTCCCACTCAAAATCCTGATAATTGAACTCATGGATCATGCGACATTTTTACTAGCTTCTTACATTTATTCCATCTGCAGTAGTTTGACTACATATTCTTGGCCTCTTTCACTTGCTTAATCCAAAGTGCCAACAGTTAGTTCTAGGCCTAGCTTACTGGTGAGCAAAAAACCTATCAGTAAGCTTCAAATAAGGAGACTGAATAGTTGCCAACTAGCTAACATATGATAGCTATAATCCTATGAGTAAAAAATATCTAACATCACCTGTTTGATACGCCTAGGACCCCACGATGAGGAAAGCCACCGTGACCGAGAGAATGATTCAGCATATAACCCATCATTCAGCATTCCCCTTAAAGGATCAATTCATTAGGTTTTCCTCCATAATTTCATGCATAAGCGTAAAAATATAAACAAAAGCATGGCATATAATGAAAGAAACTTGCCTGCACTTAATATCAGTGATCACTGAGTCGACAATCTTCGGAGGAAATTTCTTGCCACACAGTTTCTTTTTCAGCTCAAGTTCTGTAAATGCTCTGCCAGATGGCACAGTGGTCAATAAGAAACATAGAATTGCTGATGTTAAAAAGCGGTTCAACAAACATGCATGCATATGTTACTGTGCTATGGCAAGATAAATAATTGTAGAAACTAGTGGCAGACTCATTTTTCTTCTCGGTTAAACTGACTTCAGCTTAATCTCGAAGAAGAATTGAAGTTTTTTGACATACTGAATTATACATGTTAACACAAACTTATAAAATAGTAAGAAGACTGAGAAGAATTGGACGAACAATAATATTCATTCCCTCCAGTGAACTGTTTTTATGTCTTAACACATCCATTAAAGCTTAACTTCGTTAGGCATTGATGGTGCTCTCTAACATGAGATGTTCACTAAACTTCTAATGCAGGGGGTTTATGTCTACTGATTTATCTCACCATAAAATTTTAATTTCTCTACAGATCATATTTGATCCTCAAAATTAAAATGCTTGACAAAAGTTGGGCACAATACATGTGAACATATCAGAAATGAATCAGCAAAAAAGGAAAACATGCAGTTTGTTACCGAGAAAATCTGCAAGAATAGGAAAACAAACAAGGATGAATAATTTTGTACTGAATTTAACATGGATTACGACCACACATCCTTGAACACTGAGTTCCTTATAACTCCTAGAAATAATCTCTTAGGAAAAATTGGACGAAATTTGAAATGTGTATTCTGACCTCACTGCAAGCAACTCAATTGCCACCTTTTCAGCATCCTGCCTGATGCTACGGCTGAGGAGATCACCCTTTTCATTCATACTGACTTCATGAGGATTTGAAATCTCATCGAGGGCATGTTCAGAATTGCTCCCAAGATCTGTATCCATAAATTCAAGGGTAAAACTGTTTGCATTGTTGAGCTCTGGATCTTCTTCAACTTGCTCGAAGATGTCACTTGCTTTGGATTCATAAACAATGAAAATCAGTTGGTTTCTGTTAAAGAAAACAAAGTTTCAATTTATTGCTACAAAGTTCACAATGTTCATGACAACTCAGTCGGTGGCACTGATGATGTTTAAACTTATTCAATCACAGTACAAAATGACCCACGTAACGCGCAAGATTAGGCTAATTACCTCCATATATATAACTTCCAGCAATTTTTAGCTAACAGAATTAGGTCATTATAATTTATAGCATTAGAATTGATGATACAGCTGTATCTTAAAAAGCACGGGAAGCTTCAACTGAGTTAAGTTACTCGAAAGTAAAGTGCCCAGTCGATATACTAAGAAAAGGAAAACAGCCAAAACTTATAGATACATACTTGTAAAGAGTAACGCAACAAGACTGAGCCAACACACCCTCAGCTTTTTTTCATATGGAAAACAGAACATGTGTTCTAACTAAAAATTTCAGTCTACATACTATAACATACCCTTTATACATGACTAAAAGGATCTCTAGACATGACCGTAAGACCTTCAGTTTTCAATCGAAAAGGAAATACTTATCATGGTCAGAATTCACACTGGTTTAATATGAAATTATCTTGATATCGAAACTGGACCCTTCTCATATTTCAAGTTCACTCGTTAGACTCCTCGAATGAACTTCCATGCAAAGAATGCCACTTCCAAATTTCAAAATACATAGGTAGGAAATAGTACCCACATGGTGATGCCAAACACATCAAGAGGGTAAATTTTAGATAACCCTCCTCATCCACTCATTCAGTAGAATTTTGAGAAGGAAAAATTGGTGACAACCCCCTCTCCCTTATGAACATGTATTAAGTTTGAAATTCAACTCCTATTCCAGCGCAAAGATTTTCACCATTAAACAGAAACACGGCATCGATCACAGAGAGCTTGGAAAGCAAGAAACTTACAATGTTCAGCGTGAAAATTATGAAACTTGGGTAACCTACTAGCATTCCTCTTACTCTCCAAAGCCCTATTTTTGACGAAAATGCCTTCTTTCTTCTCACAACTCCCCAAAGCCGGAGCTTTTTGGGGGTTCTTGATCTGGGTATGACTCTTAGGAACGTAGCGGACTGGGCCTGAGGTACTATACTCTTTCTTTGCCCTAGAATGAAGTCAAATTTCATATAAATGTCATAAAAATGGAAACTTTACTAAATTTGCAACTTACAGTGAAGAGATTAGAAGACTTCGAGATTTGATCTCTAAAGAGATTTGAAGCCCTCGATTTGCTGCAAAAATGGCCATCTTTAATTTCGTGATCAAGAACATTGAAAGGAAAAAAGCCCTAATTGAGAGGGTACCGAGAGCGGGAAATGCAATTAGGGCTTATGACGCGGCGAGAGAGAACCTGAGAACGCAAAGGATTTATGTAAATTAGTACCTATAAAGTTTCTTTTAGCAAAATAAATTGCAGCAAATATTTGCAGCAGCAAATATTGCATGCAATACTTATTTGTTAATTTAAATTTCACTGTTGATATATCTATAGTTTTCTTATGAGAAATGTATTATGCAAAGTTAGTGTTTGGGCTGAACAACAATAGGCGCCAATGCCACATGCTCTTATCATAGAGAAAACAAGCGTGAAGATAGGTTTCATATTGGCTATCCTGGTCTTTTTTAATAGGACACACCTCCCATTCTCCCAATATGATAGTTTTAGTTTCTCCGGCAACGTTAATTTAAGGGCCCGTTTGGTTCATTAGGTGAAAGTTACTGTAGTCAGAAACCAGGTTGAAAATTGAAAACTGACTCTGACAGCTACAGTAACTTTCGCCCAAAAACACCATATTTTGAGGAGATATGCTCAGAAGCTGCCACATTGGATTTTTAACTGTCACATCAATATTTTTTTTTTGCACAACCAAACAATGTAAACAAGTGAAAATTACTGTAACCTGACAACTACCTGACAGCCACAATAACTTTCAAACAAAAACAACCCAACCAAACATCCCCTTAAAGCTAAAATTTATGCAGCGATGAGGGGTGAATACCCACCACCATCAAAAGAATCTGTTACGTGATCATCATGTGCCCTTGCCTTATGGACTCTTTTATATGCTCATGCAGTAGTGACTTAATGATGTGATGTGACCATCAAACTAGTTGTGACAAGAAGAGATTAATTTGCAACAACTTATGAGAAATGGGGAACATGACAGCAATTTAATTTAATAATCCAGGGAACTAATTTCAAAGTAACTTGAGATAGCAATTTCATTGGCTGAAGGGGCTAATTTTAGAACATGAAAAATTCAAAGGATTACCATGAAAAAACCCTAGATAATATTGTAGCTCTTTTTATTTATTTATTTGGTGGGTAGGTCACGAGGGCTGAGAAAGTCCCATCAACTCATTAACTAATACCTTGATGAAGAGAAGGTTTTGAACTGATTTTAACACGTGTCTCATGCAAACTCTGTGTTGTAATTAAAGTCATCCGAGATCAAAACCTTGCCTTCCATAAAATTAAAAAAAAAAAATTGAAAACAAGCTAGCCATTTGAAAAAAACACTGTTGAAATAGTCAATAAATCTCAATCTATCAACAAACGGACGGACTAATTATTTGCGTTCTCACCGGGAATCAAGGCAGCTCTTTTGCTAACTATAGAATAATAACAATTAAAGGCATCAATTCAAAAAAAAAAAAAAAATGTTGAACAGAGGAAAAAACAAACGTCAAAGCTAACTACCTTCAAATCATTTCTTTTGGCAATCAGATTACCGAAAGCATCTCATCATCATCAAACATTTTCAATCAAAAAAAAAAATTCTCCAAAATTTGCAACACAATTGCAACGTACATTGCGTCAAATGATCGATGGAGGAGCCGAGCACACGCCGCCGCCGCCGCCGCTCCTCATTCCGGCGACGAGTCGTCCTCCGTCGCCGCCGGAGCGGCCAATAAAGCCGCCCATGCTCCGTGATCTCGGTATAACCAAGCGAAAATCGTCGACGCCCACCGCGCGTCACGGTGGTCTGGTCAAGAAGCCTCATCAACAGATACTCCCTCTCCGTCACCGTCGACAAATCCTCGTCCCGAGCGCCGCGACGCTTTCACCTGCAAGGTCGACCTCAAGCCCTGGCCATTCTGGTCGAGGAAGGGCGAAGAACCCTTCGACGTCGACAGCCGCCGCGTCGACGTCATCTGGACCTCCGGCCGCGAAGTTCTCGTCGGGGCCGCGAGCCCGTCCGCGGGTACTCGTTCGCTCTCGTCGTACGAGGAGTCGCCCTCGTCTGTAACGAGGAAGTCGTACTGCTGCTCGGCGACTGTAAGAAGGAAGCGTATAAGAGGACCAGATCGCGCCCGTCGCTGGAGGAAGCCACGCTGGTGACGAAGAAGGAGAACGTGTTCGGGAAGAGAAGCTTCTGCACGAGGGTGAGGTTCGACGAGAGGAGGAGGAAGGAGCACGATATCTTGATCGAGAACTCGATACCGGGGTCGAAGGAGCCGGAGATGTGGATAAGCGTGGACGGGGCGGGTGGTGGTCCGGGTGAGCACCTGCAGTGGAAGTTCCGGGAACGAGACGTGATGGTCGACGAACAGTGCCGCGTGCAGGTGTTTTGGGACGTGCACGATTGGCTGTTCGGCGGCGCCTGGGCGGGGCACGCGCTGTTCATATTCACGCGGGCGCGAGACGCAGAGGGCGAGGAGGAGGGCGGGTCGACGGAGCGGTGGACGAGAGGGCTGCGGCGGTGGCCGCCGCGGGCGGCGTGCACGGGGTTTTGTTTCTTTCTGTACTCTGGAAGATGGAGTGAGAATTTTTTTTGGTGCACGTTGATTAATTAGAGCTCTGATGACTGTTTGTGGTTGTTTAATTAGAATGACAATTGCATATAATGTGGTTAATTAAGGCCCCATTCTAGAATATGAATAATATATACTACATGAATTATAAAATATGTACTACATGCTACGGGTCACAATTAAGTCGAACCGATACTTGCTATCGATCTGAACCTGAATCACTTTGTCACAGTGGCTGGGTTATAATATGAATAATGGTTAATTATTTGAGCATGAAATTTGCGTTTTAGAACTTCTTACTTTGTAGTTTGAATCTGCAAACAGCCCCTTAGATGACATTTTTTCTTGGTTAATTTACCCTTTTAACTTTGTCTCACTCGAAAAAAATCTTAAAAAAATTTCATTTGTCATTTACAAGCAAGCATCGTAACTCCTCTTCAAAGTTTTGGGGTTTGTTGTTTCTCAAGAAAAATTTATTTATTTATAAATGAAAGGGGTTCAGTGAGAAAAGTTCAAAGTTACAAGAATGTTTTGTGAGACACCTAAAAACTCAGGAGGCTTATGTGAAACCCCCTCCAAAGTTCAAGGGAATTACGTGGAACTAACCTAATCGATCTTTTGATGGTTTTTACGTTTGGATAGATTCATTCATTTTAGCATAAAGATAAATTTCACCTAGTGATCTATCTGCCAAAAGTAGACCACGGAGGTAAAATAAGTTCCCAAAAAAACGTATATATATCACGAATAGACTGTTAAAGATTCTCTAATCGACATACCAATCTCAACATTAAAGGATGAAAGTGACTTCCCACCGCATCCTTTACTGGCTCCTACGTACTTCAGGGCTACAACTTTCAGTATGATGATCAGTAGTAAAAGAGGATATTACTGTCACAGCCTAGCTATTTTGATCTACCGTCAAAGATTTAATGAAAAGCTCCATGTCTACCAATTATACATTTGTGCTCATTATGTTATGATAACATATATATCAACAAAACAATATCTATATCCATGTCTACCAATTATATATTTGCATGTCCATCTTCTTCTTCATCCAACAAACGTTACAAATTTAAGCATGGAGAGCTAGCCATCTTAATTAGTGTACTAGGCTCACATCGGCCGAAAAGAGAGCTACAAGAGGAGGGAGCATAAATAAATAATCCAACCCCAAAATCTTCACTTCCACTAAAAATCCCAACCCCACGTTTGCACGAAGGATAAGGCGCCAAATTAACGGCTCCACCCGTCCTCCTTATCCTTGCTTGATGAACACCCCTGGTTCAATGGTCGACACGTGTCCGCCTAGCACCGTAAAGATCCTTTTGGGAATATTCCCTCCTCAGAGCTTACGTTATATGTGTGGAGCTTATATAATTAAGATGACCGTGCACCTTCTAAAAGGTGACTTTTTTGAGGTTTAGGCTTTGGATCTTGCTTAGAAGAGGATATCATGTCTGCCTTTGTGGGGAAATATGCAGGTATATATGCTTAACACCAATGTCTCTCTCTCTCTATGATATTGTAAATAAATGTGTATTTACACGTAGGGAAGAGCAAGAATCAGTCCGTCTCTCTGTAATCTTGACTGGTGTGTTGCTCATATGTCGTATATATATTCAAAAAGTTAGTTATGATCTAAATGTACGTGATAACATCGTTACTATGGCGGTATGGATATGTTTCATGCATGTCAGCAACATATCGATCAGAGGACATACTAGCTCCCGGTTTACTCATTTATGTATGTAATTGTGTGTGTATTTTCGATGAGTTTTGTACAACTAAAAGCTTCCTGAGGTGTTATACACGTTGTTGAGAAAAGCTTGTCCTAAGAATGGCATTTAATGATTATATATGAAGGGGAAAGAGAGCGTGTAAGTATGTTAGTGCATTGTTGTTTTAGGAGCTCGGCTCACACTAGTCTGCCACTTTTTTCCTCTTAACTAGTTTTCCTTTTAATATTTAACATTAGTCCACAGTGAAGTGTGGGTGTAGTCTCTCATATTTAATTTATGTATTCTCATTAGGAAATTAGCAATTTTCTTCATAATTTTTTAGGGGCTGTTTGGTTCGCTATTATAAGGGGTGGAAAACTCAGAAAACCCCTCCACGTCAGATTTTTAGCCCTCCACGTCAGCTTTTTTGTTTCCGTCCATTTCTTTGTGCCGCTTTGGTTCGCTCGGATGGAAAAGGGAAAACTCTGCTAAAATCGCCGCCAACTAAGATTTTTTTCCCTTTCCGATTTCCTTCCCCAACCAAGTGAAATTGATAAAAACTCTGCCACGTCAGATTTTTTCCTTCTCTGCTTTGTTTACAAAAGTTTTCTATGCGAACCAAACACAAGAAAAATAAATACATTGGTTTCCTACCATTTTTTATGTGCGAACCAAAGCAAAACAATTTATTTCTTGGAAAAGTTTGGAAAACTCAAAACTTGTGTTTCTTTACATGGAATTGCATTTCTCTATATCAAGGAAACGAACCAAACAGCCCCTTAGGGGAAACATCAGTGTTTGAATAAGTCAGAAAGATTTGCTCTACATTAGAGTTTGAAATTACAAGAGACTAGAATACATCATGAAGCAACTTGTACTAATTAAACATTCGATATTATTTTCATACTATAGATAAAATGTATATATAAATTCTTTATTTCATCATGGATTAGACAAAATAATGGCATCTTCTTTTTTGAGAAGTATGAAAAATACAAACATTATTCTAAACTATGCACTAAATGTTGGATGAGTGGCACTAGAGACACACCATTGGACACAATCCTAACCACACCCCCTCACCTGCTACAGTGCAGGGGGCCCCACATGGGATTTTTAAAAAAAATCCCATGTGAGGCCCCCCTGTACTGTACAGATGAGGGGGTGTGGTTGGGATTGTGTCCAAGGGTGTGCCTCTAGTGTTTCTTATGTTGGATGGACCCTGAAAGAAAAAGATTGGACAGGGTAAAGATAGAATGGGACCCACTTCAAGAGTTATTTTTATTTATTTCTTTTTTTTTGTTATATAGGAATGTAAAGGAAAAAAAAAAATTCCCTCACAAGCCTAGAGGCTAGAGGGGGCAACACCTAATATCTATCACCAAGAATTTGGCTACTTATATATGGTAAACATTATATTTGCATAAACTATAATTATTTTACGTAATATTGTTTTTCAGACGAGCTCATCAAGACAGCCAAGGCCATAGCCACCCCAGGCAAGGGCATCCTCGCCGCCGACGAGACCCATCGCGCCAAGCGCCTCGCACAGCATCAACGTCGAGAACGTCGAGTCACACCGCCAAGCTCTCCGCGAGCCCCTGGCGCCCTCCGGTACCTCTCCGGCGTCATCCTCTTCGAAGAAACCCTCTACCAGTCAACCGTCTCCGGCAAACCCTTCGTCGATGTCCTCGTCGAGAGCAACGTCATCCCTGGCATCAAGGTCGATAAGGGGACGGTTGACATCGCCGGTACCAACGGCGAGACGACTACCCAGGGGTTCGACTCGCTCGGCGCACGATGGTACGTACGTACGTCGGAGGTTTATTATATAACTTATTATATAACTTATCATTCACGTGTCTGATTTCCTTAGATGAACCCCCGTACATAATTATTTTGATTCTTTTACTTTCAGATAGACTCACTAATTTCACCCGCAGCTAATACGTGACAAAATTTCACTCATCATGAGGAGGAGCAAAAAATATCAAAAAATTGAAAAAAAAAAATCAAACTGCAAGGGTAATAAGTTTAGAAGCGTAGCGCTAGCTGGAAGAACCCTAGTTATCTGCAGTCAACCCGAAGGAGAAGGATTAACATAGTTAACCCATTCGGTAATCCGAATGGCTAAATTATTAATCTGTTATATAATTTTTATTTTAAACTTTATTGATCATTTTTAGTGTTTGGGAATAACAATGATTTTGACCATTTTCTTTATAATTAGAGGGGTTAGCTCTTAATCCTTCTAAATAGAAATATTTGTAAACCCCTCATTTTGAGGGGGTTTAACTAATTTTAATCTCTCTAGAGGGGTTAGCTTAACCTTCCTATATATTTTGTGTTTGGCAAATTATAGAGGGTTAACTAACTTTAACCTTTATATAATTTTTTTGTGTTTCGCAGGGTTAAGTCTACTTAACCTCTCACTTAACCTTTTGCCAAACTGCAACTAAAAGATCAATAGGTTACGTGCAATACGTTTATTTCATAGGGGTTAAACTGCATGCCGGAGAATAACCTGCAGCTCTTTCAACAGCGCCAAGTACTACCAGGCCGGGGCTCGGTTCGCAAAGTGGCGGGCCGTGCTGAAGATCGGAGCAACAGAGCCATAGAGCTGTCGATACAGCAGAACGCGCAGGGGCTTGCGAGGTACGCGATCATATGCCAGGAGAACGGCCTGGTGCCCATCGTCGAGCCGGAGATACTGACCGACGGAGGCCACGGTATCGAGAAGTGCGCAGCGGTGACGGAGAAGGTGCTGGCGGCGACGTACAAGGCGTTGAACGAGCATCATGTGCTGCTGGAGGGGACGCTGTTGAAGCCTAACATGGTGACCCCCGGCTCAGACAGCCCTAAGGTAACTAACTTGATGATGTTAATTAATTACTAGTAGCTTGTTCATATAATTTTGCAAAAAATATATATTCTCCTTATTGTTCATTTAAACGGATCGTTTTGCTAAATATTTAACAAAATAGACAACTTTTTGACCAACATGTTAAAAAAGATCGATTTTGCTAAACTGACCATTCGAAATCATGTGAAGGCCAGAGTCGGACATTTCTTAAAAACAACCCCACAAGATTCCCACTTGAGTTTAAAAACTAACTAATTAACATGAAACGATGATTGTCATAGAAAACATAGGCACCACGTACGTATTTACATCTCCACGGTAACCTTTTTCAATCGATACGAGGGGTAGGCCTGTTGTTCAAAACGTACGGGCATTAAGATCAATATATATATATATATATATCAGATCAATATCCGTATCCGTATCCGTATTCAGTAACATATGAAAAGAGGACGTAAACGCACGAAGGAAAGGAGCCAACCTGAACTTCAGATAATTTGCAATTAAACACTTAATTTACAGGTGACGCCCCAGATAATCGCGGAGCACACGGTGAAGGCCCTCCGGCGCACGGTCCCTCCGGCGGTGCCAGGCATCGTGTTCCTCTCCGGCGGCCAGAGCGAGGAAGACGCGACACTGAACCTCGACGCGATGAACAAGCTCGACCTCCTGAAGCCATGGACCCTCTCCTTCTCCTTCGGCCGGGCTCTGCAGCAGAGCACCATCAAGAATGGCGGAGGAAGCAAGGCCAGAACATCGGCCGCCGCGGCTCCAGCGTCGGCGTCTCCTGGCGAGGGCCTGCCAGAGGCCGCATCACATTCCGGAAGGCGACGCTGGGGAAGTACGCTGGTGGAAGTGCAGGCGATGGTGCTGCGGCTGAGAGCTTGTACGTCAAGGGGTATAGTTACTAGCTAGGGGTCGGTTCATTAATTTGTGTGTTTTATGATGCCATGCTCTCGTGTTGGTTAAAATGCGGAGATGTTTATATGTAAAACTATGCGCTGATCATGTCCATGTATTGGTTTTATTTGGAGAAGTTCATATGTGATCATCTCATTACCAGCACATTAGGATCAGTTGTAGCTAGCACACGCTTCACATTCACAAAACTTAGTCAAATAGTAGACCGATGCGTAAAACTTGCATACAAGGGAATTACAGAGGGGAATCGGATAGTAACATGCTCGGTTGAACAGGGCTCACCAGGATAAATCTTAGGTTTTGTAGCAGGATATCTTAAAACCATAACTTTTTTGGGGGGTAAAAGTATGTAATATTAAGATCTCAATAATAATTTATTTAAGTAAACAAGCTAAAAGGGGGCAAAAAAAAAAAAGAAAAAAAAAAAAAAACTACATAGAGAAAACCTGATACATACAAAGAATTAACTCCTTGATTGTGATATCTCTAACACTTTCCTTAATTTTTCACCATTAATGCCAGAAACCACCTCGGTTATCAAATTCCCTTCAAACCCACCAATTTTACCACCTAAAGCAATCGTCTTCTGCCTTCAAAATCTCATCTAGGCCACTGATCACCATAACCCCCCAAAAAACCCATGTATTGTTCCTCGAGGTGCCGTTTGGCAAAGGGTTAAGTGAGAGGTTAATGAGACATAACTCCTTCTTAATCTCCCAAACATAAAGGGTTAAAGTGAGTTAACTCTTTATAATTTTCCAAACGTAAAAATGCATGAGGGTTAATTAAGCTAACACCTCTAGAGGGATTAAAATGAGTTAGCCCCTCAAAATGAGGGGTTTACTAATACTCTTATTTAGAAGGATTAAGTGCTAACCTCTCTAATTATAAAAAAATAGTCAAAATCATTGTTATTCTCAAACACTATAAAAGATCACAATGACTAAATTAAACTTTTATAATGTGCTAATAATTTAATCATTCAAATTATCAAATGAACTAACTATGTTAATCCTTCTTCTTAATCACTGTTCCTTAATCCTTTGCAAAATGTGACCCAAAAGTATTGATATTGTTCCTCGAAAAGCTGATTGCTAACAGGGTAAATTTTACATAACCCCCTATCGTTTTTCAAATCTACGTTGAGATAAACCCCTATCTTTTGGACTTTTTTGAGATAAACTCATGGAATTTTTAAAATGTCATTTAAGCTCCCTGACTTTTGTGCTTGTCACAAAATCATCCAAATATTTGCAATTTTCAACGTAGCACTATCCCCGAACACGTAACCGTAAAATTTCAGCAAACCCTCTTAACTTTCAACATTATTTTTTTAGAACTCCTCAAACTTTCAACATTATTGATTAAAAAAAAAAGCTTTCAACCTTGTCTTCAACAAACCCCTACCTTTCGATGAAGTTTCAGAAAGCCCCCATTACGCCATGAGGGGATATGTTGAAAAAATTGCAACCAGTTAGGGAGTTTCGTGACACAACTAGAAGCTGGGGTAGTTAAGTGACATTTAGAGTTCGGAGGGGGTTACTCTTAAAATTGGCAAAAGATAACGGGTTTTGTGAATTTTACCCATAATAATATCTTATGCAAATAATGTACCCTTAGGGTCTGTTTGTTTGCACGGAAGTAATTGTGAAGTAAAAAAAGTAGAGGCTACTTCTGCTACTTCCAAGCAAAAAAGTGTGTTTGGTTCTCTGAAAAACTTACTTCCAATACTTCTCTAAATGTTTATGTGGCGCCTACGTGTCATCCTTACTTCCAAAATATTTTTCCAATCCTCAATACTCAGAAGTAGCTCGGAAGTAGTTGAAATGCATATTAATTATGATATAAATAATTTTTTTATTAATATTTCCTTTATTAGTTACTTCTAACAACTTTTCATTGATAAAATTACTTCCTAATAATATTTTCAAATGTTATCCAAATAAAAAAAGTAAATGAAGAGGAAGAAGTTCTACTTCCATTACTTCTAAAATATATGAAACAAACAAAAAAAATGTTATTTCCACTACTTCCTACTTCATAGCTTTGAAAGTTACTTCTATAACCTACTTCTTACTTTTAATACTTTCATTATCCAAACGAGCCCTTAGCTTAAGTTTTTCGGATTATGGACAAATGACAAGTATCACGAGAATATGCCCTTCACCAATCACCAAGTTTATTAGTAAAATATGGATTAGTAAAATGGAGTATGTAAATAAGATCAAGTACATTAGCAACTGAAATGCAATGATTCAACAAATGACAAAATAACAGGAGTTAATAAGTCTTTCTCATTTTCTTCTGATAAGACTGATTTGATATATTCCTTTCTGATGTCATATCAAAAAATATATTTTATTCAATAATTTCTCAGTAATTATGTGTCAATAATGTACATCAATGATCAGCTAGCCCTTTTTAGGATAATAAATGAAGCTAACTAAATAACTATAACTATGTAATGTAAATATAATATGGATAATAGCAATATCAGAGCAGTGTAAATCCAAAAAGCCTAACCTAGATAGAGCTGCAATTTTTTGACAAACAATGAATATTACTAAATAGAGCTGCAATAGTAACTGCAACCATAACTGCAACGGCAAATCAAATATCCTCTAGTCGCGACTAACGACTTGCGTAAATTTAGAGAATAAATTACAGCGGTGAGCCTTTAATAAAAGTTTGAAAAAACCCAATGCCTCAAAATAAATTGAAATGTAATCAAAATTTGAGCTAATCAATCACAACTTTAATTATACACGACAACAATTATAATAATTGAAATATTCCTCAAGGACCCAAAATATGAGACCAACAGGGGGACATGTGAGGTGTCCCCTTCCTATTGTATTGTATAATGAGCTGGTCATCATTAATTAATGATGACTAGCTCATTATGCAATAGGAGGGGGACATCTTACCTGTCCCCCCCATGTTGGTCCCATATTTTGGGTCCCTGTAGCAAAGCCCATAATAATTACAGTTGCATTGAAATTACAATTACTGCGAACTAAACACCAGAGAAATTTATGGCAACTCGTCTCACTTCTCACCATTTTTCTCTCACTAACAAAGAAAGCTCCAATATTTCCACCTGCAAAACCCAGGCTGCCTTTTTGTCTGAACTTTGTTGATCTCTATTGAGCTGCCGCCTGTAATTGGGAGATGAAGTGGCTCTTCTCCTATTCTCACATGCTCTCTGGACTTTCTCTTGTCATCTCTCCTATCTCTTTCCTTCAACTCTCCCCTTTATATGCTTGCATATATATGGGGTTAGAGATACTATCATCTACATAAGTTTTCTCTATGCTCTCTTTTCATCATTTTGGGCTTCATGGGGTTTGTCCAATTTTGCAAAGGAATTAAGTAAACTGTTCTGCCAATATTAGCTCGGGTACGAAGTTAATTCTCGTTATTGTCCAAAGAGTTTGATTATCATATTCGATGATCAAAATCTGGACTCATGTAGCAGTATCTGAATATGTAAGTTTATGATGACATTATTATTATTATTATTCTTGGTTAGTCAGTTATTATGAGAATTGTGATGGCATCTTCAATTGAATTTTCTTTTGTACATGATTTCTTTTGTGTAGGTTTAAATGATGGTTAAAGTGGTGGTAATGAAGCCTGCCTGGCTCCCTGAATGCCATCTGAGAAGCTTATCAAAAGAGTTTGATGCACCTCCTAGTTGGCATACAGGGCAGCCAAGCAGACATATATATCAATCGCATTATTCCACTTAACTTGCATCATTAATTTCTTGGTCCCTTCGTGGATTTCATCAAGGTTAGTGTTCCACTATTGCATTTATAAAGTATATAAATCCATATGTGTGATGCCTTTTTACATGATGCCTTAACCATTGTCTGGATTTCATTAAGATCAGTTGCATATATAGGAAATTATGAATCTAAGGGCGCACTTTCAAAATTACGTTATATGAAATCAATTAATTTGATCCACTCTATTCATTTTGATCTATATGTTTTGGATGGTGTATAAACAAAAAAATTAGGCATAGTGGATAGTAGTTACTTATGCATCAAGTGAGTGTAAAATTAACGGTTTAATGACAATACAACTAAAGAGATAATAAAAACATCATGAATCTTATTTTATAGATGTTTTAAGATATTTAAATCATAATGAATGGAGTCGATTGCCTTTTGAAGTAGCTCAATACATACGTTGAGAGGTGTATCCTTATATACATATAGGTGCTACTAAAGTCAATACTTAACCAAGTATGGGCTTTATCCTCCTGACCGTACCTTTTATAGTAAAATAATGCTAGAGGCACATTCCAAATCATATCTCCAACCACACCCCCTCTCTCATTCGCTACAGTACTCCGGGTCTCACATGAGTTTTTAAAATTTAAAAACTCATGTGGGGCCCGGAGTACTGTAGCGAATGAGAGAGGAGGTGTGGTTTGGGATGTGCCCCTAGTACCACTCTTTATAGTAATATAACACAGACATATTCCTCACCTTTCCCTTGGAAAATTGAAGTGGAGACAGGACACAGACTATTCCCAAGTCTGTCGAGATTTTCTAGAGTCCATCGTACGCGCTGTTTATATACAGAGCAATAGAGAGGAGTCTATGAATAATGGGGAAGGAAATGAAAAAGATGATCCGTTGTTGATAATGACGCGAACTCAACAAGGTGGACAAATTTTTTCAAGACTTAGATCAAATAATGACGGTACTTGTCGAGATGATGGGACCCACGTGACACAATGCTAATATGGGGTAGGTAATTGTCAAGATAATTAAGTGTGTTTTTAGACTTTTGGGGGAAGTTTGCCTTGGACAATATTTTTAAGAAAAATGCCCCATGGATCCAAAAAAAAGGGACCCCTATGGGACACGTGAGGTGTCAGTTCT